ACTGTCGGTGTTTCCTTTCAGAAGGTTAGTCTTCACTCGTCCTTGACTACAATCCTCATTTTTGATGGAAGATTCCCTTTTGTCATATTTAGTACAAGATTATAGTATATTTGTTGTTTTCGCTAATCATCTCTTCAGCAAAGAAATTGGTGGAAGAGAAAGTCCACAATTCAGGAATTTAGGATTTCTGCAAAAGCACATTCAAAACTGAGAACCCTATTGCACAAATTCAGCACATTTCCTGCCTTGATATGTCCACAATCCTTTCAACCAGGATTAAGTTCAGGAAATCGGTTTTATTCTGACATTGTCTCTCCTCTGAAAATATTTTAACTATGTAGAGAGAGCTCCACCCCATAGTCAAAGCTGTTCAGGGAAGGAAGGAAGTGTTCACAAATATGTACAGGGAGAGGTTTTAGTCTCACTTCTGCATGTGAATGTATCTCTGTGGATACCACCAGTTGCTGCCACTGCTGTAACCACCCACCACAATAGTAATCGGCCTCATCCTCAGCCTGGACGTTTGTAATGGTTAAATAGGCTGCATTGGCCGAGGTGTCCTTGGACCCCGTGAAACGGCCGTTTGTGCCAGTGTTATAGAGAAGGTATTTGGGGCTCTCTCCAGCCTTCTGTTGGTACCAATATATGGTATAGCTGCCAATTTGGCTATCTTTTGTTGGTACCAGCACTTGGCTGTCTCGGCTCATGGTACATGAGATCTTTGCTGGTTGTCCCGGGGGAAACGATTGTGCCGCAGGTTGAGTCAAGGTAATCTGTGAGTTGGCTCCTTAAATTTTTTTTAAAAGTGGAAGAGAATGAAGGTGGACATCCTATAGATCCACTCGTGGAGTATCTTTGGAAGAGCTGCTGTGATTGAAATCCAAGCGTCACTGAATTTAAATTCATTGGAAGACATGGAAGGTGTTGTTTTGATATCAAGATCAAATCATCATTACAGCTTGAGCCTGATGGTTTCCAAGCCATCACAGAAATCCAGAGGTGAGAATTCTTCCTCAATTACCTGTCCACCATAAGAAGAAGAAGGCCAAGAGCAGAGACCAGGCCACGATGAAGAGCTAATCTTTTTTGGGAAACTCAAATTGTAAGACTACTATAGTCTCTTTAACCCCCAAGAATCTGAGTCCTTCCCCTTTATGCAAATCCAGCTTGCATCTTGTCAGCAGGTTTTGGATATAAAGAATTGAATTGGAGTTGTCACAATCGATGCATATTCAGCTGTTGCCCTCCCCAGTCAAAGGAGAAATCCTGCAAAGTTTTGCCGTAGACAATTTGCATATATCNTTCTTCTTCTTCTTCTTCTTCTTCGTCTTCTTCCTCCTCCTACTCTTCCTCTCCCCTCTCCTTCTTTTAACAAGCCCATAATTCCTTGTGGGATGGAATCTGGGCAACTGAATGGAGCTAGAAGACAGGGTCTTATTTTTGGGAAAACCGGATACAAGATTATATTTGTTGGGTTGTCCTTTTATTAATTGTAGTGGGGGATTCAAACCTTCCTAATCCTATCTTGTTCTATGCAGATGTTTCCTGATGTTTGTTAGTTTACAAGGAAGTTTACCTGATCCAGTGCATAACTGAAGAAGTTTTAACTCTGGGTGTCTTGGGTTTACATAATTGGGTCAATTCCTGGCTGATTTGACGTTGATTCCAACAACTTGATTCCGCATCAGATTTGGTTTCAAAACTGGAGTCCTTTTTGGTAGTTGAACTGTAGTCCCCTAAAAAGCCAGTACCAGACCAGCCATTTTTATTTTCCTTCCTGTGAGAAATATGTGTTATATTTTGAAATTTTAATTTTAAGTGGGAGGGAGGAGCCACAGGAAAACTGTATTGAATGTAATGCTTTTTTTATTGCAACTGTGATGGAGGTTGAGAATGTACTCTCTTCATTTTTCATTTGATTCAAAGGTGAATGTTGTAGCCCACTGGTGGCCAGCGGAGCTGGCAGCAGATTCAGACAGTGAGGAAGTTGAGGAGGAACCTGGGCCAGTCTGGGAGTCCGGGGAAGGCTCGGACGAGGGCTCTACATTAGAGGCAGAGAGGGAACTAGACAGCAGTGAGGCAGAGGAACAGCTGGAGCATGTTCCCAATATACGCATGCGCAGAGCTGCCAGAAGATAAGAACAACTAAGAAAGCAGGGTCGACTAGGGACTGAAGCCACACCTTAGAAGTGATTGGCTGCTAACATAGGAAACAAAAGAGGAGCAAATAGGGAGTGGCCTTTTGCAGGAAACAATTTGTTCATTCAGTCATTTCAAGAGTGGAAACCTCTGTTTGTGACTATAAGAGTCTCTGTGACAAGTGTTGCCTTGCCCTGCATTTGGAAACTAGTTATCTGGCAGATCTCCAAACAAGATAAGGTTCATGTTGATAAACATTCCCCTGGAAGGCTGTTTGCCAAGCCTTGCTGACTGGGAATGAAAGGAATTCACAGTCATGGAAATAAAAGGGGTTTTGCAGGGACCCAGACTCTGCTTCTTGCTTGTTAAGGAAGCCTAGGTCAGAACACTAAAGAACAAAGTCATTATGCTTAGAAAGGCCGTGAGAAGACCTGAGTCTATTAATTGTCAAAGTATTTCCCAGGCCAGACTGATGGCTGACTAAGGGGAGGAAGGAAGTGTTTGCAAGTAAGCACAAGGGGAGGTTTTTGTCTCGCTTCTGCATGTGAGTTTATCACTGTGGTACCTCCAGGTGCTGCCACTGCCGTAAGCACCACCACAATAGTAATCGGCCTCATCCTCAGCCTGGAGGTTTGTAATGGTTAAATAGACTGCATTGGCCGAGGTGTCCTTGGACCCCGTGAACCGGCCATTCGTGCCAGTATTATAGAGAAGGTATTTGGTGCTCTCTCCAGCCTTCTGTTGGTACCAAGATATGCCATGGCTGCCCACTTGGCTGTCTTGGCTCATGGTACATGAGATCTTTGCTGGTTGTGCCGGGGGAAATGATTGTGCCGCAGGTTGAGTCAAAGTATACTGTGAGTTGGCTCCTGAAAGTAAAAAAAGGAAGAGAATGTAGGAGGAGAACCTATAGATCTACTCATGGAGTATCTTTGGAAGAGCTGCTCTGATTGAAATCCAGACTGAATTTCAATCGGTTGGAAGGCATGGAAGGGGGTGGCTTTGATATCAGCATCAAGCCAGCATTACAGCTTGAGCCTGATGGTTCGTCTGGTGAAGATAAATCCAGAGGTGAGGATTCTTCCCAAATTACCTGGGCACCATAAGAAGATGAAGGTCAAGAGCAGAGGCCAGGCCATGATGAAGAGCTGAGCTTTTTGGGAAACTCAAATTGGGAGAGTGCTATAGTCTCTTTAAACCCCCAAGAATCTGAGTCCTCCCCCCTTTATGCAAATCCAGCTTGCATCTTGTCAGCAGGTTTTGGATATAAAGAATTGAATTTGGAGTTCGGGGTTGTTCACAATTGATGCATATTCATATTCAGCTGTTGCCCTCCCCAGTCAAAGGAGAAATCCTGCAAAGTTTTGCCATAGACAATTTGCATATATCCAACTGTATTTGCTCATTCCTAAGTACCATTGAAGCTTAGGTGCCTTTCCTTAGCATGTTGTTTGCATGCAACCATTAGGTTCTGAACAGAGTTTAGTGAAATGTTTTGTGTTAAGACGGCCAATGAATTATTCAGGGAAAGAGGCGAGTGAAAGAGAATGTAAGAAAGTGTCTCATCTAAATTCTAGAATCCCTGAGAAATTAGGATTTCTGGTAAAAATCATTGTCCAAATTGAACTTGGTATCGGTTTAAATATTCAATTTCAATACTATATTTTCTCTTCTCAGAAAATATTTGAAAAATGTAGCAAGAGCTCCTCCACATGGCCAAATCTCTGTTGAGAGAAACTCTCTCGTCTTTTCAAATGGGGTTTTTAAAAGGGGAAGGAGTTGGCTCTTTTGAAAGGTCAGGGAAGCCGCATGTCCAATCACAGCACAGACTTTGAAAAGGAAAGTGCCAAATCGTGGTTAAGGTCATATATTAGGGATAAAGAGATCAGTTCATGTTCAGTCACAGAAACCCGCTGTGTGATCTCGGTCCCCACAATCTCTCTC